AGCCACTTGCAAAGAGGGGATAGGAATTCAAGTGTCCATGACAGAAAATAAAGGACATAACAGATAAGCCAAAACAAAGAATTTCTCCAAGTCTGTGCAAAGAGAATTTTACACTCAGCCTCCAGAGAACTTTTCATTCCCACCCAAAATAACTTTTTCTGGGTAATAACACACTTAATTAAATCTGATTGCATGCAGCCCACAGGAGAACCCAGCATCCTAGCTGGCTGAAAATATACAAGTATTTGGGAAGGCTTCTTGAGTTACGTGGACTCATCCCTCATACACTAGTCAGCAGAGCCAGCCTTCATTCCATAATTACAATCCATTCACTTCTCAAGAAGTACTGAATGCCCCAGATGGATGAGTTTTTACCTACAAATCCAATGCAAACTCTTCCTAGTTAGTGAAAAAGTTGTGTGCAATTGGCATAAATCCTGACTGTAACGTCCAATGCCTTGTTCAAGGAAGGCTTTTTCCCTTCCTTCAAATGTACATTGTGTCCATCCACCACTGAAGAAAATCATGCCAGACACAACAGATATAGCCAGAGACTGCCCAAGCTCACAGAAAAACTATCCACAGTCCAGTTAAGCAATTCATTTAACCAAAGCCAATATACTAAACAAGGGGTCAGCAACCTATGGACTGCAGAGCCATATTATGTAGCATTTTGGCAACGTGAGATTTCAGCGGTGGTGGCTACAACACAGTGGGGAGCAATGACTTCAGTTCTGGTTGTTGCAGACTGAGCTGGAAATAGCGAATGCTTTGAGCTAAACTCTAATAAAGCAGCTTCCCACACTGCAAAAATGTTGTCGATCCGTATACTAGATCACAATTCTGGACAATTCAGAGCCAAACACGCTTTGGAAATTAATGTTAATGGTCCCAATAGATGTTCTTCTGTTATGAGTCGTTGGTAAGTTGCCACATGGGGCTAAGAGGGAATCCCACCCCCACTTCCACCTGCTCATGCTGCTACTTGTCTTGGGGTTTTTTTTAAAGCCTTCCTAAGAGCTGTGTTACATATTAAATTTAGGCAACTTAGAGACCTCTTAACCCTTGGATTGTCCATACACTAAGATGTTTAATCTATTTTTAAGTAACCTGAAGATATCTTAAAAGTTACACCACTGCAGGGAAGATTTCTCTCTGATTCGTGTTATCCAGCTCACGTTCCACACGTATCTGGCCACTCCCCAGAGAAAAGCTGCCCAAGTTTTAGTCTGCCAGCATCCCAGCATGCAGTGTCCCTTCCCCCCTCACCCTGTTCTGTGCGGACAAACTTTCTACTCCCTAAACTCTATTGTGCAGCAGGTAGTACTGGCATCAAGCTAACTCTGCCTCCTGGCCCCAGGGGTGTGAACTGGCTAAGCAGCTGACAGAGATACAGACTGGTCTGGGACGGAGGGCTAGGGGTTGTGGAGGAGGGAGCAAGGTACGGAGTCAGATCAGGGTTCCTGTGAGCTGGGGCTACCCAATCCCAATTTATTAAAATATGAGATTGTCTTTAATTTACTTACTCTTTCTTCGCAAATTCATTTTTTTCCCTTTTTCTTTTATCCTTCAGTGGCTTCCGAGGCTGACTTCCTTCATTAGACCACCCAGCCCTCAGCCTCCATTCCCCCTGCCTCTCCACCTCCCATTTCACAACCTCTCGCCTTCTAGCCTCATGCTCCCACCCCCACCAATCCATTTCCCCAACCGACCCTCACTGGATAGAAGCCTGTCCTGGTTCACCAGCCCTCTAGTGGCAACTCACAGCTGGAGCTCCTGGTCGGACCCCTGCTTGCCAGCCCTCTAGTGGCAAGTCTCAGCTGTGTAGGACAAGGACAGTCAGAAAAGGAGTCAGAAAAGGCTTTTAGCCTGAACACGTGACTGCATTAAACCTCCAACACTCACACTGATCAACATTTGAGAAGTTTAAAGTGTAATGAGTAACAAAACCCTTAGAGGCATTGGGTGTTGGCTGCAGCCAAGGCTGGGGATTTTGACTAGGGTGTGCCAGTGCTGCTGCTGGGACTTAAAGCCAGCAGTTCATGGCTAGAGGGTCTTGCTCCTCCCCTCAGTTTAGTCTTCAGATCAATCACCATATTTGCAGTCAGGAAGGAATTCTGCCCCAGACTGGTATGGACTGTGGGAGTTTTTGCCTTCCTGTAAAGCAGGAGGTACGGCACTCTACCTGGGATCTCTTGAGCGTGTATTCACCACCTTCTACAGAGTCAGGATGTTGGCTGCCATGGTTCCCCTGCTTTACACCTGTGGCAACTTAGTGTGTTACGTCTTGTGTTGTGTCAGGATTGACTAGTTTGATTAAGAGTTTAGATTGTGGATTTGTGTAGATGGTTTGGATAAGGATAGTCCTGCCTCAGGCAGGGGACTGGACTAAATGACCTATGGGGGTGCCTTCTACCCCTACTCCTCTATGATTCCATGACCCATTATCAGTATCATCCTGGAAGCATTCTACAGAATTTGATATGGTCAACCCTAACATAATATTGTTAGATGCAAGATCCAGCAAAAATAAAAAAAAAACCATACTTGGTTTGTATTTTTTTCTGGAGGAACTCCCCATATCACCCTTTTTAAGTAAATGCACTTTTAATCACCAGACTCCTACTTTGGAGTCCCATAAAGATCAATTTTTTCCATCCCTACAAGTAATCACTAAGAAAAGTGGTAACATAGGCTGAACTCAAGTGCCAACATGATCATTCTATCCTCCTATCATTACCACCAAGGTGAACCAGTGCTTATGGATAACAGATAGATTAATACAAGGGAGAGGGAAATTATGCTTGTTAGTAGAGTAAAGCATTTTGGGGGCAGGGGGTGAGAAAAGCAGCCGGCTCCAGCGCATAGGGCTTCCTTCCCATGCTGAGCAAGTGTGGGTGTTGTTTGCATGCGGCGGGGAGTGCCAGCAATACAAGATGGCCCAGTGGGGGTTGCGCTCCTTGCTGCAATGTGCAGCACTGGCTGCAGCTGTGCACTGCTGGGCAACAGCACCAGACACAAGCACCCCTGCCTGCTGCTGAGCCATGAAGGAGTGTTGGGGTGGGTCCCCACACACCCCCATCCTCCCTCACACCTCACAAACACCACATACCCACATCCTGCCCCCACAACCCACAACATATACACAACCCCCCAACATAACCTATACCCAACACATGCAGCCACACCCCCTCACAAACCCCCCATGCCCCAACCATACCCCCTACACAATATACAAGACTTAATAACTCAAAAATAAATTCTTATGCAATCACCTCTACATATAGTATGCAAACACAAATCATGACAAAAATATTTTTTGTAATAAAATTAAAATATGTTATGGTAAGTGTTTGACTTTTAGCATATGATTTGGTTTTTTTCTGGTTCTACAATGGCAAACCCAACCCCCTCCCCAAGCAGTATTTCTGGGGGCAGTGGGAGGTATTTCCTGCGGCAAAGGTCAGGGGTTAGGGGGTGGAACTTCTGATCCCAAGATGGCAACAGGGGGGCAGAGGCAGGCCCACAACTGTCAAGGGGTGGGGCTACCCATGCAGCCCTCAAAAGCTCACCAAACCTCGTTAAGCAGCCCTCCACCCAAAATAATTTTCTGACCCCGCATTAGGTCTTAAAAAAATAACTAGTATGAAACACTGCAAGATACTTCCTTCACCATGTAGGCTACCAGTAAAGCATAAAATCTGTCCTTGGCTTTATAAGAGCTCTTCACTGACCAGATTCAAATTGAGGCTCCTACTTTTTATTTACAAAGTGTTCAGTGATATGATTCAGGATAGTCAAAAAAATGAACTAAAACTCCAGGGTGAACAACTGGTCAACAACTGTCCACCAAAATATCTGTGCAGAAGACAAAGGCTTTTTCCAAATCTGATAGGATATGGGCTTTGGAACTAATATAACCAACCTGGATATATAACAGACAAAAGTCATGAATTTATAGAAAAAGAAGGAATTGAAGTTTTTGGCACATTTCTCCTTAGAGAAATTCCAAGAGGAAATTTCACCCCCTAAAATATGTGAACCAAAAAAAACAAAACTAAAAATGGCATCAAGAACCTGGTGGGGGAGGAAGAGCTACTGACAGTTGAAGAAAATTCACAATTACAAATGTCACTCAACTACAGACTGTTATGTAAAAGCAGAATGAAGGAAGCGGTAACAATTCTGAAGACAATGAAAAAGATCTCTCCCCCGTGAACTAAACCATTAGTGATGGTGGATACAAAATCCTTCACTACTGACAGAAGGAAAGGGATTAACAGTTTAAGGTGCAATATACAGTTATCTTTGAGGTACAGTGTTTAAGGCACATGGCTACCACCTTGTGTTGAGGCAGTTTAATAGACACTTGTTTCTTAAGCAGTTGGTTGATGCATATGTCTGGTATTTTTTTTTTTTATAATTATTTTTAGTTTTGTGGTATACAACATAAAAGTTTCACACCAAAGATTGCATAAATCAGTAAGTCTCTGGCATAAACAAAACCTCTTAAGGAGTAGTACTAATGGGTTCAGGAGGAACCTCTACCCAGGCTCTCATTTGAAGGGATGGTTGTTGCTATGTAGTGTGTCCTTGATAAGGTAATAGGAGTTTTGGGAAAAGTCTCTTTCTTAAAAGGGAAAAGTGGACTTCAAACAAAAGGTGGGTAAGAACAGAATAAAGAGGAAAATTATTCTGAAACAGTACAGTCCAATAGCACTCCTGCATTCTGCCTTCTTTTTCCATCTCCTTAGCCCCATGCCTCCCTCACCCCACCAAAACAAAGTCAACAAAGCAAGCAAGACAAATAAAGCAAAGGATCAAGCACATGGCAAAGAGAAAGAAAAAAAAGGAGCTATAGTACAATTATATATTTATTGTCTAAAAATAATTGTAGTTCATCTATAATTACATTGATAGGAAATCATTTCACATTTAATGGAAATAACTTATACATAATGCACTGGGAATTTATAAGATACGTTTTAAAGATGACTTACCATCTGAACTTGTGAGTACAAAGTTCTCTGCATGGGCTTGCTTCTTTCCACCTACACTTCTGGGAAACCAATGAAGATCTATAGGGTAGATATCAGGAAGCTTCGCTACTTGGGTTGTCTCACTAGTTAACAAGTTCCATTTCATAATCTGATGGTCATCGCTGCATGAATACAGTTCATCAGCTGTTGTCCAGCCCACACAACTAACCAATTCTTTATGTGTAACTGAATTAAGGAAGTCTGAATTCTAATAAGCTGTTTGGTTATTGAAAGTAATCTTAGGATATACATCTTGCTTAAACAGTGAAGAATTAAGGATTGCTACAAAAAAAGTTAACAAAAAACCCTTAATTTTTTAAGGAACTGTCATTTGTATACGTTGGTGTTTTTCTTCACATAAGATCTTTATGTTGCTTTTCACATTAGAAAGAGAAGTGTCAAAAATCAACTTAAAACAACAAAAAATAAATAAAAGACTCTGATACTTTATGCCATTTTTAAAATAAACACAGTATTAAAATACATACCTATTAAACAGATTAAATTTTAGGCTCCACCTACAGAAGAACCTCAGTGTCAAAACATAAAAGCATAATCCAAACAAGTACTTCTTGGTTTATTAATAGTGTCATGGGAACTAATGACATTCCCCTTTAAGAATACAGTAAAGAATACCCTAATAAGAATACACTAGTAAGTATTAGTGAAGCATATACTTTTGGTGGTGGTGTGAAGGACTGAAGGATACTCACACCTAGGGTGTTCCCCTCAGCCACGGGCATGGGCTCAACCAGAATAGAACCTCCACACTACGGTGGGAGCTTCCAGTTTACCCCAGCTCAGCTTCATCACCTCTGCAGGTGAGGTGGATTGGTGGGGATCCGTGGCCGGGGCAATATCTAGGGGCTGTAGGCAGAACCGGGACACTGGGGAAAGGGAAGATGGAAGACCACAGACAGGATGGAGGCTGGGAAGGCTCAACCTGAGACTGGCATCCCCGGGAGCAGGGTAAGAGCCTGATTGGGTCTCAGAGGCTCAGGGGAGCCCACGCTAAAAGAGTGGAAGAAGAAAGGAAGGAGAACAAAAAGAAAAAGGAGAGAAAAGAGAGTGAGATAAAAGGGGTGGATGCTCCCGAGCCACTTACTTGTTTGTTTTCCGAAGTGCTGATTGATGACCGGGGGCCGACAATTAAGCCAGGCAGGGCCACGATAAAAAGGAAAAAAAAAAAAAAAAAAGGTG